GGGGCGGGGCCGCCGCTGAGGCGGGTGTCGCCTCGCCGCGGGGCGCAGTTCGGAGGCGCCGTTGCTGTCGCTGTGGGACGGGGGTGGGGGCGACCCAGCGCCCTCGCTCGGGGCCGCGGAGCCTTGAGCACCACGCGGGGAAGGTGGCAGGAATAACTCTCCTCACAGGGAATTGTCCCCGCGATTTACRTGTGACACGAGTGCGGCTCCACACAACGCGAAAATCCTTAATTTCTGGGTCTTGGCCAGTCCCTCCTGCTGCTGTTTTGACCCTTCCCGAAAAGTGTGTCCCAGAGCCCACGGTGCCAGGGCACTTCCAAAACCGCAGTAGGGCAGGGAGCTCTGGAAAAGCCCCAGGAGGCGGGGAGCACCTGGAGGGACCAAAGAGCAGGAAAAGCCAAGAAAATGCCTCAGATCCAGGCAGCAGAAGATGGTTCCAGCTCCATCTCAGCTAAATCTGCAGATCTCCATCTGCAGCTGCCTGGCCTCTTCTCCAGGGTGTATGAAAGGAGGGAAGAAGTCAAGTTTGCAGATTCTAGTTATCGCAGTTTCTGATCAGACGAGTCCCCACAGATAAGAGGTGGAGGCTTCCAGCACCTCATCACCATCAAACATGTTGTTGAACCAACATAGCTCCTTTGCTGCTTAAACTCAAGCACCAGCAGGCAGAATCTGATCCAAGGCAGCATACTTTTAAAAGAATAATTCAGTTAGGAAAACGCTCCATGTAATGAGAGGGGCAGGAAATCAATATTTAGATTACCAGAGATATGAATAGGAAGGGCCTTGAGCAATGTGCACAAGGATCTATGCAGAAAAGAGGTGTTTGGACGGAGACACCTTCTTAACTTGGGGGAAAAATGCATAGTTGATTCTAAGCACTTTATACCTTTATATACATTATATAAACCAGGAAAATTCAGAATAGAAATACACAGTTCAGGCAGCTGGCGATTGGGAGGGTTGAAACCAAAAGATGGTGTATGGCAAGTCATGAGATAGAGACCGGTTGTTTCCTAAAAGGGGGTGCTGTCGGTGTGCAGGGGTACCAAGAAGCACTTCTGACCGTCTCATTGGGGCAGGAATCTTCCCAGGACCAGGGAAATGCGGAAACAGTGATGGAGGGGTAATAAAAATTAACTATAAATTAAAGAGTCAATGGGAGACTTGCTGATGCAATGTAGTCGTAAAGCAGCCGAGCAGCCAGAAGAGGCCTGCTGATACAGGTTGAAAGGTCTCACATTTCCTTCCAAGACCTTGACCTTGGACAGGGTTTGAGCTTCGGCAGTGAGGCCTATGCATTTTGCTCTAGGGGATGGACCAGTGCCTTGGCTTTGCAGCTAAGCTATGCAAAGACATGCAGAAACAAGGTTAAAAAGTTAWGCAGCTCAAGAGCTGAGCGTAACCTAGGGCCAGCACGGGCAGCTACGTGTGCGAGGGGGTGGTGGCTCCTGCAGCACTGAGCCAGCTGCAAGCTGGTGTTTCYTCTTCTCCACAAACACCCGCTCCCTTCTGGCCCTGGTCCTTCCGTGCCCATGGATGAGCACGTACAGAAGTTGGGATTTCAGTGCTTGTAACAGAAGGCGCCTTCTTGCTTCACCCGATGTTCCCTGCACAGGAACCATTTGATACATTCCCTAATCATCAGTGTGACCTCCCTCAGATACAGGCATTTCTGTACCCAATTTCTGTCAACTAGAGTCTGCTTATTCCAAGGAAAGAAAAAACAGCAGTCTGTCCAAAGAATTAATGGATTCCTACACTAATACCTAGCWAACTCCTGCAATTTAACATAGCAAGTAACACTGTTAAACTATAAAACTATCTCAGAGTATATCAGAGTCCTGGCCGAAAGGACAAACCTGTGTAAAGGAGTGCAATGTACTGAGGAATATTTTATAAAATACCCTCATCCTTGCGTGGGGAGATGGAGATAACACAAGAGAAGATACTTGTGTGATGGGCGCTGCTAGAGGAGGAAGCTGTGCCATAAAATTCCAGCTTGTGTCCATGGAAGATTGCACCGGAATTCTTGCTGCACTCCATGGCAGCTGAATTAAATCGCAGGGCTGTAAATCTGCCTCACCAGATCCAGCACAGAGAGCGTCCTGCACCAGCTAGGCTGCGTCCAGCTCAGGTCTGCCTCTCTCTTTCTGCTAGGTGGAACAGCACCAGCTTCCAGAACTTGCTGCTACTTGGGCTGGTGTGAATAGAGCTGCTGCTGCTGCAGGCCTCGCATTCACAATTAGGTCCATTCATTTGCGATGTTCCACACAAAGAACCGAATTGCTGCCCTCTTTCTTCGTGTAATTTCAAGTGACTTGATTTAAGCATGTAAACAAAGCCAACTCTTTTTGCTCCCCCCAAAGAAGAGTTAACAAAAGTTTGTGGTATCAATGTTTTTTCCTTTTTTTGGTTTGCCTGACCTTGGGATTTTTCCAATTATGCAGCTTTCTTACTGAAAGGAAGAGAAATTATAATTATTGACAGCACAGTGAATGATTAAATACATTAAAAATACACACATACACAAATGCAATGCATTTAATTAAAATCCCTTTGTTCTGGAAAGGGTTTTTTAAATAGACGTATTCCATCAAACAGCTTCAGTCCCATATTTGATATGGTTCTGCTAACACATTTTTTCCTTAAACCATTATTTTCTTTCTATTTCTCATTTTACATTAGCAACAATAGAAGGGCATGAAGAATTATAATTCATTTCTATGGCTAATGCTTCTGAGATTAATTTCTCTGCCGTGTTTTAGTCTACGCCAATATATATTGTGCCACAGTTTAGTCACTGGTTTAGTAAACTGTATTCATTCATTTGTAATGTAGTTCACAACTGATCTTCAATCTGTGTCTGTAAATTAAATAATCCCATTACAAAATATCATTAAGAAATTGTTATTTCTACCTTTTTTTTGTTCAAATTAATATATATTTAATAAGCTGAACAGTTCTTAGACATATCACTAATAAAACCAGGAAGAACTTGTAACCAAAAAAAAAGCTAGTTAAGTCTGAAACCATTTGATATTCCTAATTAAAACATTCTTCTCAATGACAGAATGGCATGGGTTCTCRTGACAAGGTGACAATACTCCAGGAAATATAAAACAAACCACATTATTCTTTGCTTGCTTGCTACCTGCTCAAAGATCAATAAAGCCCCAGGGCAAACACAGTCTATAGCAAATCTATTAATATAATTCAAATTGAATGAAAAAAAAAAAGTGTAATGGCAAAAAAGCACAAAGCAACACATGAAAAGAAGAGTTTGTGGTGCACTGTTGTCACATTCAAAACCCACAATGCATATACATGCACACACTAACATTGCCCTTATAACTTCCTTAACATGATTAATTTGAGCTACTTCAATGTGTACAGTAGTCACTACTTGATTCTGTGCATCAGACAAAGAAAATTGCAAAGGAGGAGGCTTTGAATTCATCTGAATTCATCCTTAGTTGTAAATGAGACACTTGATCTCACTCAGCTGATGGGAACTACTAGGTGAAAAAGCCTCCAAGACTGGTTTTTAGTTTGGTGTCTGAAGCTTGGAGAAAATTCCAGCACCTCCTAATACACGGCTTGACCCAYACTGAATGAGTAAAAATTAGCAAATTAGCAGAAGCAACTGGAGAAGTTTTTYGGGACCATCATTTCACATTCCAAAGTCTGGAGTTTTTGAGTTGCAATGGGTTTGCAGTCTGGTTCATACTGAAGTGAGTGATGCAATTTGAAAAATATGTATATATTCTGGTGTGGTTTAAGAAAGAAAATAATGCCCTTCTGTCTGGCACTTCCATAAGCAGGGCTGGATGTGGGAATCCTGAACACACCTAGGTTGGAAATAACAGAAGACCGGACAAATAGTCTGGGACTATCCAGAAGGGTCAAACACTGGATCTGTTATGAAGATCTTCAGGTGTTTGAAGGGCTCTGGAACAACCACCTTCCTTCACCCGCAGTCATTCCCACCAAGCATGACACTGATCAAAGGATAAATAACGAYCCCAAATCTAGAAACATAGTCTGGGCTACTGGAACATAGTCCGGGCTACTGGGAGGAGCAGCCACTCCTAGGACCAGCTTGGGAAATAGCATGGGAAGAACTCAGAGGATGTGCTCATCCGTGAGGACGCACCGCAAATGCTTCCTATGTGTTTTGAGTGTGTCTGTCTGGTCAAACACTAACCTGCTTAAGACTGTGATTGCTTCATGTATCTAGTAAAACTTGCAGAGAATTTAGTCTTGCTGAGACTAAGCACAGAAAMGTTCAAGAAAAGAAAAATCTTCCTAGAAGTTGAAAGAAAACATGAACTATGGAGCTTAAAGACTGCTTGCCACCCTCCTACTTATTGCCATGTGAACAATCCACTCTTGATATATCTTAGTACATTATAGAAATCAGGAAATTGATACAAGCTAATTTTTTTGCTAAACTACGGCCTTTTTTGGTAAGCAATCAGAMTATTTTAAAGAAATTATGCAATAATTTACCATTTTAAAAATTAATATAAAAAGTTGATCCTTTCAGCATAATTAATAGATGCATATTTAGGAATTTTATTTAACAGTCTAAATATATGAACTTATATCTGTTCTCTTTTGTGGTAAGTAGCACAATATATTTCAGCCCCAGTTCAATTCCTTGAGAAAGGTGGAATGCGCAGGTGAATATTAGTGTTACCAGAGCAGCTTTTTACGGCACAGATTACACTACTAAATATAACTGCATGTGAACGGTATTGGACAATAGCTGTATAAAAATTCTTATGGACAGTTTCAGTTTTCATAGTCTCCAGATTCATATTCTTTATCCTCCTCCTCCTCCTCCTCCTCGTGGTCATAATAGGCGTCGTAATCCGTGTTGTAGCTTGCGCTTCTGCTGCCAGCTGTAAATGCAAACGTGGAAGATGAACCTGCACACCAAGACATAACGGATTTTAAATTCAATTAGCTGTGAAAGAAATGCAGAGGAGGGTAGGATCYTGGATTCGGGCAGCAAATTCAATGTTGCTCAGCACTTGACCTTATACCACCATRATACATGTCCCAGATTTCTCGATTACTCACATTTTAACACGTTGAAAAGGTTTCTAATTCCAAATCCTAGTAAACTATGAATCCAGTCCTCTGAAAATTCTCTCCAGCTAGGGATGCAAGTGGAGCGTGCTGATAAACAGAGCAGGTCTGCGTCAGGAGGCAGCGCGAGACAACGCGCCCTTATGCTGCCCTGCCCGCAAACCAGGCTCCTCTGCCCTCGGAAGGATGTCACCCTGCAGGCCGGGCGCCAACGCAGAGCAGCAGCAACGCTGCCTTGTTTGTCCTTCCAAACGCTATTGTTGGGAGCAACAACTGCTTCCTTTCTAGCTTTTGGAGAGTAAACAGCTGAGCTGAACCCGCCGTTCAAAGGGTGCCCCAGCTCCAGCAGCTGCTGCGCGGGGCGCGGAGCCCTCCGAGCATCAAAGGTCCCGTGTGGGACATGAACGGGGCAACGGTGCTTCTCTCTGCCCCATAACTAGAAGCCACAGCTTCTGGAAGATGGTATATTTTGTGCCAAAGTATTACAATATTAGCACATTTTTTCCCCCCAGAACTCATTCTGACTCAAATCCTAGCACCGATCCTCTTTGAAGGCGTAAAGTAATAAAAACACACAAAGAAATTTCAGACATTGAAATCTTSCAGGTCATTTCCCACATAGCTCATTTCAATAAACCCATAACCTCTGCTGGCTGCCTGTCTTATGYATTTCTGCCTTCCTCACATCCAAATAAAACCCAAAAGTACCATCGATGACTTTCAGTCTTGCAGAGGCGTATGTGGCACCRTGCTTGTTTTTGGTGTGGCAGATGTAGACACCCTCGTCTGACTTTTTGAGGCCTTGAATCTGCAGCCAGCCAGTCACACCGTACTTCTGAGGCCCACCTCTTGCCTTGGAGAAGACAAACAAATAGCGGGGGTTACGTAGCTATGAGACAGTATTTTTCAAAATAACCGAGTCTTGAGTAAACATCATTCCAGCCTTTGCTTTTGTTYACCCTGTGCTGCCATCACGCTTTGATTCTCAAACTGTTTGATTCTGCTGCCATATATTTTAGATTCTGGTCATCTCTGTRCCCTGAATTCCTGTTTTCCCTGCACAGCTTTTTCAACTTTACTGTGGGGTTCCAATTCCYGATCCTGTTGCTTCTACATCCCAGCCTGTCTCCTTCTCCTCCWGTCTCATCTGGGCTCCACTTCTCTCTGCTGCTCCAAAGGCATTTTCCCAATCTCAGGATTTTTTTGGGGGGAAGAACTCCTTCTTTGGACTGTGAATAGTACTTGAGTCTGGGTGGTTTGTTCAGGACTAARGGGTTTGATCAAGTTGACCCTTAGCACCCCATGTTGGCATGACCCAACACACACTCCCAAGCTGCTGATACCTCCAGTATCAACATCATCCTTGTTGATATCAAGCAGTATCATTGATACTTCCAGTATCAACTGACCCCCACCAAAGCCTCGTGAAGGGACAAGCTTTCTTTTCAATCCAGCAACACACAACAATTAACAGATGAACCACAAATAAGCAGAAGCCTCCATTTTTCCCTCGGATTGTGCCCGCCCTATTACTACTTCTGCTTGTGCTGCCAGAGCAGTGCTCATGGCACTGGTGGAAATCAATATTTCTTACCAAAATCCAATAATTAGTAATGCCTATTAGTTATCTTTCTTTGGCTGTAGTATTGAACCTTGGCACTTGCCTTCAGATAAACCACTTTGTGTACCAAACATAGGAGAAATTCGCTTGTCAATCCCTGAACATAACATCCCCTGACAACCCAGGTTCTACCTGCACTGAGATGTGGGCATCATCTCCTGGCAGGAACATTTTATTCCCTTTTTTTTTCCATTCGAGCTGGGGCATAGGGTAGGCTGACACTTCACAGCCAAAGATGACATCGTTGCCGGTGAAATTCTGGGTGTCCTGAGGTGGCACGGAAATCACAGGAGCTGCAAAGACAACCAGGAGAGACACCCTCGTGAGAAGCCAGGGAGCTGAAGGCCCCAAACAACAAAAGTACAGAAGCGTGTAACACAAATTCCTATGATATTTGAAAAAGGAACAGTTTGCCTTTTGCCATCTCACTGCAAGAACCAGTATAGAGTCCCATTCCAATGCCATATACAACAGTAAATAGCCTAAAAACACAGACATTATTCCTACATAATGTAAAAGGCCTCTGTGGCCTATCTCCTTGCAAGCAGTCATAAAATCTAAGCTGAAATTAAAGGTTTAGTTTGTGTCCCGTTAAGTGTCAGTATGGACTCAACTTACCAGTCCAGCAACCAGCACTTGGTGATACCTTTGGAGGAAAGCACAAGAAATTCTACAGTAGCCAACCACAGAATAGCCTGATTATACACGACAGTTCTTAATTTCCATYACCTTTGGTTAATATCTAAAATATGAAATTGCTAGGTCAAAAATATTGCTTTTCTGCATGTATTGTTGCTTTGAAGCTGCTGAAAACTCATCTCTATTGCACTCAGTGCCCCAAGTGCGCAGAGTGACAGCACTGTTTTTATTAGGTCTTACACTCACCTTTCAACTTCATCTGATGTTCCTGTGCCACGAAACATGACTAATAGAAGCCCCTGAAACCCACTTCTCTACGTTATGTATTTTACAGTTATTAGATTTCTACTTACATGTTTCCTATCAAGCTCTTCYCCTCCTCCTTCTCCATTTACCTCTTTCCTCTCCCAATTACCTCTCCCACTTTATCCCAAAGAAAAAGCTGATGTAAACCGGTAGAGGGAGCCAGTCCCGGGCTTGGAAGACATGAAGAAAATAAACATCTCCGGCGTAGTCTCACATGATTTAAACACACAGCCCTCTATAAATATGTATGAGCATAATAAATATTAACAGTAGAAGACACATTCTGTAACAGCAGAGAAGAAAATAACTTATCTGCTCTTATCACAACTTTCCTTCACTTGGGTATCTTTCTGCATTTTTCCTGATATATTTGTCSTCAGCAAGAAATATTTTTCATTCTGAAGTATGTCTGCCTTCTCTTTTTATTTCCTTGGCAGTTTTTCCAACATGAAGACAGTTTCTAGGCCATGAAACTTATTACTTGTTATACTTACTTACTRCTTTTTTCCTCCATAACCAAGATGTTTGGAAATGGAACCCCCCAGTAATTAGTAAAAATAATGTTACTTGGCCATATTTGGATCAATAAGTAGATAGGGCATTTACACGTCAGCATCTGAAATTACAACATTTTGTTCTAGGGTTCCAGACAATGTTTCTAATACACGTCACCAGATTCTAACACCTGACTTCTGTGCTGAAAATATCAGGTGCCTRTTGCTAAAATTAATTACAAATAAACTATCCAGAAAATGTCTGTTTTCCCTCCCATTATTTAATCAAACTTCAAATGCCTTCAGAAATAAAAACCATGCATATTACAGCAGCAAAGTGAAGTCATGGTGTAGTATTTTAAGAGAATCTCAATACCTCTATGCCTGATTTGATTAAAATTGCAGAAATGTTGATGATTTACTTTGGGCTTTACCCTCCAATTTAAATTTAAAATAAACTATTGTGTGGCCACAGCTATTTATAGCAAGAGTCRCTGCCAGATCCTGCTGTTGCCTTGCACACTCACCAGCAAGAGAGGCTTGAATGGGCATGGATTAAGTGYGGAGGATCTGCGTATAGTCAATACACTTGGTTAAATTATTGGAAAAACTGATCAAAGCTTATCTTTGAGGAGAAGAGCTTTTTTCACACAGTTACTTTAGGGAGCTTGCCCTTTTTTTTCCCCCATCTTTTCCTTTTTCTGGCGATAGACAAAACATAAAAGGCCATCCTCTTCTGATAAAAGGGGTTTATTGTTTTTTATTTATTCAGATCAGTTTTAGTGCTCTTGTCACCCCAAATCAGAGCGTGTGCCCAGGACCTAGCAGGGTTTCGAGGACACTTGGCTGATTTGCACTGAGTTTTCTTAACGTCTCCTCACTGACGAGCCTCGTTGCTCGGTTCAGTGCTGTGCTGGCAGACAAGGGATGCTGTTACAGACCGGTCCCTTCCAACTGGAGGAAGAAGAAAGAAGTCTGGTATTTGCTGCTCATCACGCTTCCCACTAAGTCCTGAGCACACGGTGTCCATCCAATATAAAAATATTGCATACAGTCTAAATCAGATGCAACAAACTGCTAGCAAGGAGTGGCAAAGGGCACCCCTGTGATTCTCATGCACAGACCCCTGCTAGAGATGCGATTTTAGATGTGCTTTTCCCAGAGCTGTGACCCATTTGCGACCCAATGGCATCATCTACAGGTTTCATTTGAGAAAATACTAACTTTAAAAAAAAATATTCAAAAACAACTGTTAACTTTKCACTTCGTTTTCTATTCGCGTGACTTAGGTGTTGATGGAAGTGCTCAGGATAAAGACTTATTTTCACGTGCAGCCTGGGAGCAGCAGACGAGGTCCTCGTGGACAGCCYGGCTAGGAACAGCTCTAACCGTTGGCTCCTCGGAGAGCAGCTCCTGCCATCAGCATGGCTGGGAATGGCTTTGGCCTTGTCCCAATATTTGGAATCCTAAGCCAGGAGGCACTCGSATTTTATAAAAATTCCTAAAGATTCCTACATTGGATTCATTTATTTAATAACAAGAACAGATCTGTATAATTAAACCTGGGAGCTTCCTCTAGCCCCTCTACTTCATTGATTACCATATGTAATACATACAGGTAGACATACATACGTGATGCCTGAGTTGCTCTCACCCTATAAATACTGGATCACTCCTCATGTATTTRTCCTTCCTTCCCCTCCTCACCACTGAACCAACCTATCCACTTGCCTGCCCCGAACAGAGCCGGCTGTGGGGCTGGGGCTCATCCATGGTGCTGTGGGATCAAACCCACTGGCTAACATCGAGGCTCACAACATATAAAATTAAGCACCAGCTGCTGAACTGCACGTTTAAGCACAACGTGAGATAAAAAGCACAAATGGAATAATGCAATTACCACAGAAATGCAAGAGCAGCTGGATGAAGTTAGGCTGCAGCACTCAGTAACACACCTGAACATCAGACCGAGCTCTTGGTTCAGTGTGAGCGCCTCTCTAGGCRTTACCTGACTCGCAGGGCCCGCTGTGCTTGAGGCTGGCGTTTCCCGCGTAAGCCTGGCTCAGCTGGCAGATGTTGTCGTAGGTCCTGCCRTCGGCGCCGCACACGCTCTCCTGGGCCTTGCACACACACCGTGGCTCCGGCACCTCGCCGTGCGCGGCGGCRGCGCCCGCATCCAGCCGGCACTCCAGGTTGTCCCCGCACTGCCCGTAGAAGTGGGCGCCGTGGTCCAGGTCGCAGCTCTGCCCCTCGGCGTTGGCGCACTGCGGGCAGCAGCCGCAGCGGTCCAGGACGGTGCCGGCGGGGCAGCGCGCGGGCGCGGGGCAGAGCGCCGCGTCGCAGCGCCCGCAGCTCTCGGCTTCCCTCAGCAGCCTCCACCACGGCCGGCGGGACGAGGCGGGCGACGGCTGCGAAACCTGCGCCAGCGCCGCCAGCACCGCCAGAGCCACCGGGGGCTTCATCTTGAGAATGCAGCGAACGAGCAGGGAAGATCCTTGGAGGAGAGCCAGGAGGAGAAAAAAAACCACAGGCGAGCASGCGAGCAACGTCACAATCCCTTTTTGTTGGAGATTAGCAGTTCCCCTGCAAAGCCGGACTTTAAGAAGGGGTATGAGCATGGGAGTGCTGAYGAGGAGGCGGCGTGCGGGCTGTGCTCTGGTGCAGGCTGGAATGCGAGCGCGGAGGTCGAGCCGCCCCTTCCCGGAGYGCGGCCGGAGCGCGCGGGCTCTGCGGCTCCTGCGGCCAAACTGCGGGGAGGGGAATCAACTACAGCAGTGGGAAACGAAGCAGTGAGGTAGTGATGTACTCAGCAGGTTTGGTTGGGGCTTTTTGGCTTGTTGATTGAGAGAGAAGGTCACAAAAACACAAGCAGGGGTAGAAAGCAGCAGCCCAGGACATGCCCGTAGGGCTGAAGCTGTGCCAGGGAGACCTGAGCAGGGTTTAAGACAAAGTTTTGTGCGTTAACTCTCCCAATGAGGTGTTTCTGAATTAACATTAACGTTGTCCCTCCCCTTTATGAGGCAGGGACAGGCCAGGGCGGCAGGAGTTACCGAGGAGGATGCAGGTGCATCGTGACCTACCCTGTACTTGTTTTTCACTCACAAACACCCAGCCCTTTAGGGAGAGGGGCCTGCAAAGCATCTCTGGCCCCTCTTACTCTTTGCTTTGCAGGGTGGTGGGTCTGGGCTCGCTCCCGGCTATTCCCACGTGCTCCCGTCCTGCATGGAGCCACGGGAAGGCTCTCGCTGCTGCACTGGCACCGTCCACGCCAAGCACAGCACAGCCCATCTTGGAGGCCAAGGAGAAGCTTCCCCCATCCGTCCACCCTCTGGTCAGGGCTCAACATCATAAAGTTGAGGCCTTTAACAGTGAGAATCGGAAAAAAAGTAACCGGTTAATTTAATGGGAAATTGATTTCATGTCCCACCTTCTTAATCTGCTTAGTGCATCTTATTTCACACTTGCTCATCAGATGCTAATTGGACATTTTAGTTTTTTGTTATAGGGTCTAGTCATCGCTGTCTGGTTTCTTATTTGTGCCTGCAGGCAAGTAAGTCACTGTGGGGGTGACCAGAGGAAGGAGGGGGATTCAGCAATAAAATATGCACCTGATTCAGCCATAAGCACCTGATTCAGCAATAAAATATGGGATATTTCAGGATGCCTCTCATTTCAGAAGCTTGCTTTCATTTCTGAAAAGAAAAAGTGCTAATTGTCCTAACAAGTCCCAGGTTACCTAAACCTGACCCCAGYACCAAACCCGAGCAGGAGCCTAGTTGGAGCAGCAAATCAAAGGACAGCAAAGTGCCCCCCCTTTTCAGACACAGCCCCCCCAAATGGCCAGGAACACCAGGCTGGAGGGGCCCCTCGGCTGAACCTGCGGCAGCTGCTCCCACAGGCAACGCTCTGAGCAGGACCCTGGGTTGTGGGGTCTGCCCCACAGCCGCACGGCTGCGTAGGGCAACGGGCAGCGGGGGAACACAGAGCAATTCCCCCGCTCCTCCCGTTCACTCAGACCGCTGCTCCCACCAGGGCTGCCACAAAACCCTCGCAGAATTATTTCTTTAAGTGAATAGTTGAGGAAATTGCATTCCTCTTCATTTCCTGCCGCCTCCTCGTGGCCCGGTGCTGGGCTAAGCTGCACTCGTGYTGCATTATTCAGCTCTCCGTGGCAAGATGCGGTACGTGGCTGATGCAACCTGAACTCCTGCTGCTAGTAACTCCTGAGATAATATTTGCTTGGACAAAACACTGCGCCAGGTGGCTCAGACTGGGGGCCCATTCCTAACCCCTTCCTCTGTTTTTATTTGTCTCAGTGGGAGTTTTACCTGTGTAAAGGTCTCCGAGTCTGGGTGCTGCCCTCTGCAAGCGCCCTGCAGATGTTCCATACTCGTAGGGCAGCTCCTACACAGACCTGTCCATGCAGAGTCCCTGCAAAGAGTAAAAGCAAAGCACAAGCAGTACTGAGGTCACTGTCCTACCTTCCCTGTCCCCCACCAGCTCCCTTGCTTGAACAGGACAAGTGGGGTTTGAAAACAGCACCGCTCTGTTGCATTGTGTTTGTACCTTAAATCCCGCAGCCTTTTCCAGAGAGATGAACGGGAGAAGGGGCCCAAGCGCCGGGAGCAGCCGCCACCCGGGCCYGGGTCCCGCCACGGGCCCTGCTGGGTGCCAGTCGCCTTTAACGACACGCGGACCCGATCACGGGCACTGAAAGCACATGAAGCATAAGTCAGTTCTGCTGTAACGTGATTATTAAATCTATTAATCAAAGGCAGGAGAGCCATAATTAACTTATTCTCCCGCATCAGGTAAATGGTTCTACTGTGTGCTTTAAGAAAGCAATTGTTCACGAGCAGGAGAGATGCGGTGGGGCTATTAGACCACAAGGCTCCGTAATTGTGTAATTAACTTATAAATTTTACATATTTTAATCACATGACATATATATTTAAATTGTTGTCTTCATAAGCTTAACATGGAAAATCAGTTTGCTCTGCAGTCTCCCTCCTCAGGAGGAAGGGAGACACGAAGGGCCCCACTTTTCACCTTAATTTTGGGCAGGAGCAACAGAAAGGGCGTTTTGCACAGAGCCCAGGGCCTTCAGACCTCAGTTTTACCTCAGTTTTACCTCAGCAGAGGCCACGGAAGAAACGGTGCCTCTTGCTAAAGACGGTGCCTGTGGGTCCCTGTCCCCCAGCTCCCACCATAGAGACAGCGAGCGGGAATGTCCAAGAGGACATTAGCATTAACGTTGTCCAAGAGGACATTCCCGGCTCAAGGATGACCCTGGTGGCTCCAGCAAAGCTCCCAGGAGGTCAAAGCCAGAGGGAGAGAGGCCGATCCGAGCTCTGCAGACCCGAATACAGAGTCGTTCCTGGCACTGSTGACGGTGGCAGATAGGACAGTTCGCCTTGTCCGGTTTATATAAGAGCAGCTGATATAAAATGACTTCATTGTTGGATATTTATGAGAAGTTTCATTTCAAATAATATAGTTTTAGCCTCGGGCAACGCTGCAGTTTAGTCCTCTTATTACTGGGAACTAAATCTTTAGGATATTCCAGCTGTAACTGCAGGGCCTGTTTGAGCTACCTGGCAGAGTTAATATTTTTCAAAGCAATGGAAACTTTATAATGGAAAGTCTCATTAGCAGAAAGTACCTGATGGTTTCCAGGGYGCCTGATCTTGCACAAAATAGTTGTCTCCGGAGGGAATCAGGATTCCCCCCCGACTCCAGGCCCTGAAGGAGGCTGAAGGAGGAGGCACCAACAGCCCTGTTGGAACCTCCAGTTTTAGCCACTGGTTCTTCCCAAACATCCAGAGGGCAGCGGCGCTGGGAGCTGTATCCCGACTGCTGAAGCTCACGTGGTGCCTCCATGAGGATGAGGCTCCTCGCGGGAGACTTGCTCTTCCTACGGCAAAGCCAAGTTGTCTGGAGCCACAGCTCAGCCTTCCCCAAGGGGAGCGGGGCTGAGGTCTGGGCCCGGCGGCACCGGCACCACCTGGATGCTCCTGGAAAAGCCAGACGCAGGAGCAGCTGCTCCCGGAGGTCCCTGCCCTCCTCCTCGCTATCGTTGCAGGCAGTTCCTAGAAAGCAAGAGGAAACCAGCTCCAGGAGCAGGGACAGGGCCTGAAACGGGGCCAAACTAAACAGAAAGTGCGGATGAGCTGAGAAGCAACCGCCCCCGCCAGAAAAAAAGGATGTTATTTCCCAAGGAAGGCTCTGCAGGGGGAGTGTTCTTTGGGCTGGGCAAACCAGGGGCTGCAGGAGCCTGGACGGCCCGGCGGGACGGGGTCCCAGCGGCAGCGGCTGGCGCCTCGGTTTGATCAACCTTGGGGTTTCATTTTGTGTCCRTCCAAGTCTGGGGAAGCGGCTCACGGGCCTCTGGATCCAACAAAAACACAGCAGAGCACCGGATGATTGAAAATCAGCAAGTTTTGTAACCTGGCGGAACCAAAAAGAGCATCCGAGTGAGCAACTGCCTCCAAATCCCCGCTCTGGTGGAGGCGGGAGCCCAACAGGGAGGGGTCTCCGGCTCCCCCTGCGCCCATGGCCACACTTCAGGCCCAGGACCTCTGCAAAGACAAGGGCCCTTCGTACCATCACACTCAGCTGGGCTTGCTTTACCTGCCTCCCCTTCCCCTTCTTGGGTTCCAACTCACAATTCTGCTGTTAGCTGAGGTTATGAGCACGCAAGGGCACCCAAATGTTGGTCTGGGCGGTGAATCCTCCCAAAATCCAGTTTTCTGATTTGCAATCCTAATCCAATTGCAAAAATAAGGCACAATATCGACTTTTGCCTCCTACCAAAGGAGGCCTGCGTTTCAATGCTGCGTTTCCCTGCACTGACATTCATTACAGACTCAGCACTCACCTCGGATTAGCCTAAGCCCAGGGTCTGACGCCAAGAGCAGCAACACGTCATAATTCAGACCAGCTTCTAGGCTTCAACGGATGGAGGTTTCCAGCTGGCTGTACCCTGTGCTGACAAACACCGAAAGCAAAAGCGATTGCTGACACCAGCACAATGGTAAAGATGGAATTAACCTTTTTAAAAACGTACAGTCCTCCCTGGAGGACATGGTGGCGTTTGCACATACCTTTCGGCCACGATAATGTAAACCACATGCCACATCCAAACCAGAGGATTCCTGAGCCCAATCCTTGGTTCTCCTGAACGCGAAACCTSTAGCTCCTAGGGGCTGAGCCCTGCATCCCGCCGCGCTTCCTGCTGGGATCCCTGCACTGCTGGGATCAGCCCGCAGGGCACGCTCTGCAGCTCCAGACCTGTCGCTACCGCAGGAGATGTGAGGGGCACAAGGTCCCAGTGCTGCCTTGGAAGATGCTCAACACACCATATCAGCACGGCCCTGTTTTAACCTCATCCCTATGAAAACASGGGCGAGGAACCAAGGAAAGAACAGAAACCTGTCAGGTCGACATCCCGTTCACCAAGCAGGGCCAGCAAGGAGCATTTCCGAGAAGCAGGATTTCTGGAAACAAGTCAGGAGCAACTTCAAAGCAGAAAAGTTACAGCACAAGCCACACACAACAAAAACAAGTCTCGACCCTGGCTACCCCTACCCCTTCCTAGTCTACAAAGGGGTGCCGTTTGTTAACATTAACATTTGATGGCTGGGGTGGGACTCGAGGGCATTTTACTTGGGGGTTAAAGAAAAAACTGACACAGAAAAAGGCCTTTTTCTTTTTAATAGAAGATCTCTCTAGGGGGTTGCACTCATATCACAAACATTCACTTTATTACATTTTATGGAACGGGGTGTAAATGCCAGTATATACAAGCCAACATTTCATTATTGGAATTTGAGCTGGTTCGCTCGCCGGTGTCAGTCTGCGCCCCTCTGCCTTCGYTCTTTACAGAACCCGTGATTTATGAATATGTGGCTCAGGTCCTCCACAATGCGGCGTGGCAAAGCGGTTCGATAGAAAGTTATTAAAGTCAAAGGAAAATCCATACAGTCTCCCATGCTCTTCCCAAGCCCAGAACTGGCTCCGGGACCCTGCTCGCTTCCCGCGCCGCCGGAGCTGCTCCGAGCCCGGGATGCTGCTGGATTGATGGGACACGGTTCAGCTGATGCCCAAGTGCCCCCTGTGCTCGGGCAGGGCTCCAAGGTGGGGCTCAGATAGGCAAAACCTGACCGATTTAGCACAACATGAGCATTGAACMTGCTTCCACACACCAACAAAAAGCCTTCCAACCAAAACTTCAATCCAGAATACTAAAAACATTTAGAYATCTTAAAATATTAACACAATATTCCACACGGACACAAAATGCTGTCACGATGGGGTCTGCTCAAGGTGCTCCCAAGATGGGAGTGGGAAGGGCTTTSAACCAACACCTGCACAGGGCTGACACCACATCTAGTTTACAAGCTGAGCTGCCTTGAAAATACATCACCTTCTCCCAGCAGAAATCTGGCTTAGGATTGCATGATAACGGTTGGAGTGCCCCTGGGGTATAATATTTTAAGGCATAGCTCTGTATTTAGGTACAGATGACAGACTGCTTTCAAGGCCAGTTAATCCCTTGCAGCGCAGGGTTTTGCCTTTCCATTTTTCACTGGCACAATTAAAGACATGTAATCTGCAGAGGGGCTGGAATCTCCAATCACTCCTTCCCATACCCAGCCCATCCTCACCCCTCCAAGTCTCCCACACTGCACTGAGACACACGTGCTGTACCCAGGAACATTTGCCATACACTAAAAATGAAACAGCACCCACCTGCAAGCTGAACACAGCACAGGAAGAACGAGATGACTATTGCGTGTGCCAGGAGTGCTGTGTTTTGAGCAGGACTCCGGGGCAGGTACTGAACCCGTCAGCTCTGCCATGCGGCCAGGGCAAGGAGCGGATGCGATGGTTGGACCTTGGTGTGCACCTTGGCTGTGCGGCCATGGGAGGATGGRGGACAAACCAGCTGCTCCTGCAGGACACGGGAGCTGCCCCGAGCAGCAGGAGGAGATGCTCTCCATTGCACAGTCATCTACTTGGCAGGAAAACAGGGACGGTGGCGGCTTGACTGCGGCACCACGGCAGTCAGCACAACAGTGCAAGAGCAGGGCCACAAGCTGCCTGTATTCCCTGTTCCCAAACAGCTCAGAACACAGCTCTGGGAAAGGCTACAAAGCGCCCGTCATCTCTGCATCAGGGCTGATCCTTCAGCAAACGACAGCAGCTGAAGCCCACCAGGGCTCCCAGAGACATGCAGCTGCCCAGACCCCAGCAGCCCCGAGAGGCCTGAGGGAGGGCAGTGCCACCCGTGCCCCTGTGCCAGCTGCTTGCATGGGAGAGCTGCCGAGAGCACCAAGCCCCTCGGCCACTGCTACCCTCTGCAAACACAGCTGAGGGTGGATAAGCCTGCAGCCTCGTGGGGATCTACACTACAACCTGCTTCAGGGCCCCGGGATCATTCTGCTCCCCGGGTGCTCCGCAGGCTGCCGCGTGCAGGCCTGTGTCTACAGAGAGGCTGGGAGCTGGAATGTGAGGCAGGGAGGAGCACGGGCAGTGACTCAGCTGAGCAGGCAAGAGCCCARGGTCAACGTCGCTGCTGCTCCAACACCAGGGTTTGTGTCTCACATAACCACGCTCCTCAGCTCCACATCCCGGGAAGCACAGCAGAGCCTTTGGATCACAGGGGATTCACTGAGGTTACCTACCTAGATACCCACCTGCTCCACAGAGGCGGGAGAAGCAAGGGACCTACTGCTTCTAAAAATACAGGTAATAAGCCCAGTAAAGCACGTTGACCAACAGGAAGAACAAAGGGAACAGCAATTTAGAATAGTGGTCAACGTTGCTGGGGTTCTGAATAGTGAAATAGCTGATAATCCTGTGCATTTTGTTTCTCAGGACAAATTTGATTTTCTCATGAGTTTTCATGGTCAGGTCACTGCAGTTGATGTTATCATTAGAAATTTCAATGCTGGTAAAGCTGATTTTCCGTTTGTAGCTGGCGAGGGAGCTGTTGAGGATGTTGGTGATGCTGACTTCTTCCATTTCTTTAGCAAGTTCACTTGCGGGCCCCTAGGAAACAATAATACACTGCTAGCTTGAGACTTGGTTTCTCCCATGAAGGAAAACAGCTTGGTTCACAGAGAGACCAAAGGGATAAGCACACAGCTTCAGCCCTGACCATTGAAAACTTCAGTATTTCAACCTGATTTTTAACTGCTCCYTGTTTCTAGAAGTGCCTGAAGTCCCAGAAGGAGCCTCTATTTCCACAGTAGGTTTGAGTGGGGTCTCCATTTCTCTGAGCAAGTCTTGCTCTTAGATGTCACATTRCTCAGTGACACCATCTCTTACAAGACCTTCCCCCTTTTCACTGGTTGCACAAACCTGCTCRTAGAGCAGTGCAAAACGTTGGCCCAGGGGACCTTCTGCACAATAACTTAATGGCTTGGAGAGCCACAGGTGATTTGGGCAACCTCTTTTCTCTCTGCAGGTTTTGGACCCCCTGTGACCACTGGGCTACAGACATGCCTGAATATTTACTTGCTGCCACTAAAGGGAGAAATATCAGCAATTCACCCTCTATAACAACCCCTTGAGAATATCATATGAACTGACCATGGACAGTGTCCTGTAGGAAGGCAGAAAWGAGGATTCAGCCTTCCTCTGGCAGAGGAGATGACCTTCCAGCTAAGTGTCCTAATCACAGGCTTACTGCACAGAAGAGAGGTGGGTACTATATGGTTCTTCCTATGGCTGCATTTTGACAGGAACAGCTGCCCACATCTAGGTTTTGGGAAAGGCAGACAAAACCCTGCCTAACTGCTGCAGATCAGATATGGAACAAAGGTTTCTTTCCACATAGGCAGAGCTTGGAGTGTCATTCCTGTGTCCCCCTGCCTGTTCACTGATGGGATAGCCAAGACTGCTCTCTCAGGACCTGCCACTTGTCATGAATTTGGGTTCTGGGGTGCTTCAGACTCACACACAACACAGGAGGTCAGCACAGGGCTACAGACCCTAAAGTCTTTTCTTCAATGTGGTCTTGAAGGTGGCAAGGCAAACATCTCAGGCAGAGAGCCAGAGGCCTAGCACTATTCACGAGTGTCAGCACTGGGTTTGTTACACACAAAACTTCAGATTTATGGACAATCAGAAGCAGCTGTTACTCTACCCGTAACAGGAAAGCCATTTGCTTCATCTGATGGAGGAGTAATTGCTGTTGATCCAAGCTGACTGTTCTCATGAAGGAAGGCCAGGCCTTACCTGTGCAGGTGCTTTAGCTGCACATTTTTGTGATGAGCTGTAATGAGCCACTGCATATTCCACAAGGGCACCGAAGACAAAGCTGAAGCAGATGCCGAGATAAACATCAATGGCCTTGATAAAACAGTTCGTTTTTGAAAGTGAACTTCGTGAGCCGATCATGAGAGTTGTCATGGAAAGGACCGTTGTTACTCCTTAGAAAACAGAAGAGTACTTCACCTGTGGACACTTTGAAAAAGGCTTGGACTACCACTTTGCACATGGTGCTACATTTATTGCCAGCCAAGAGGAGCACARTATCTTCTACTAGATCCAAACCACCCATCAACTGAACTGCTCTAGTAGCCCTGCTACCCCATTGGCATAAATGGGAGTCTTCTGACAAGAGCAGCCCCAGAGACTGCAGAAATCTTTGCCATTTCTAATCCAGTTCTTTGCCTCCAGCAAAAGCAGAAGGTGAGCAGACCATTTTACGCATCATTACAGAGCACAGAGCTGATCATTTACTGAACCACCAGAGGCTTCCCTGCCTTAAATCTTCTCCCTCTGTAGGCCATAACTCACCAATGCAGGTTCTTGCAGGGACTGAATCCAGCGTGATCCAGAAAGAAACCCAGGACAACATGACGAGCAGAGWGGAGGGAATGTAGGTCTCCAAAATGAAGTACAGAACATTCCTCCTCAGCTCGAACTGCAGGATCAGTCGTGGGTAGTTGCCTATTCATGAAGGGAAGAAACACAGTGAATATGGAATTGTGAAAGTGAGATATCCTAACATCAAACCTTCCAGGTGACATACACGAGTTAAAACTTCACTGAAACTGTGGGAGATGCATTATATATATATGAGCTTGACTTCTTGCCTGAGTGTAACATACCCTAGATGAGAGACTGGACACGCATGGCACTGGTAGGCAAGAACAATCATTTAGGCAAAGACACCTAGAACAATCTGTGGCTTTTGAGAGGTTCCTGAATTTACTGCTCAGTGGAAATACCTTCTTGCAGAGTCCCAGCTCACAGCACATAAGGGCTGACACCTTCAGCTATTCTCAGATATTCAGCACAGCCTAGTTTTCCTCAAGAAGTGCCGGGAAGGGGCATTGCCAAGTTYAGTCTTATTGGAGCGCCAGGAGATAAATGAAAGATTTTCTTGTGATTTCAGCAGGTTCTGGGCTCATATCCCAGAGCATCCTGCTGTTTTACCACCCCAGCGACTCTGACCCGACGTATTCATTAGCAATTTGTCGTCTTTCGTAACTGGGTCTCTGGGCTTAAAAACATTAAATCAGATTCATCTATTTTTTGAAATCGGCTTGTCATCATACTGACAGATGGATTCTGGAGCTAGACTGCGAGTATTTTCAGGAGACATTTGTGGTGGTTAAACAATAGYTCCCTTTGAAATGCAAAAACAAAACCCATGCTGTTCTTGGCTGCGTATGCTACAATAAACAACAAAACGTTGTCTATTTTTAAAACCTGGTCATTTTGAGTAAGTTTCATCCCCTTATATAGTGCCTGTGATAGGAAAGAAGAATTTTTAYGCTGCTGAGGAAAAAGACATTGGATTTGGATGTACAAAGGGATCTTATTCCCTCAAAACACATTAGAGTTGTCCTTTAAAATCCAAAGTTCTACATCACTGTAAACGTGGCTGGGCTGCTCCCTGCAACTAGGGAGAAGGGAGAGTGGTTTTCAGTATGTGCAGCGAAGGAAAGAAGTGGAGAATAAAAAGATAAAAATAAAAGAAATATTGAAGATATATCAAGTTGATGAAGGGGGGATGCTCCGGATGGCTTTTCCCGGGATTCTGTCACCTGTTTCCTGCTGCGACGTGGAGACGAGGGTGTAGTACCGCTCCACCGTGTACTGGGAGAGACGCAGCCTCTCCATGCCCTGCACGGAGTCGTTCCCTCGCAGCCACGTGAACGTCACATCGTTTTCATCGTATCCCCCTACACAGAACACACAGAACCGTGTCACTCTGTATCACCCAGCTGCTGCCCTGCCCTCCCRTCTGCTGGCCCAGCCTGCTGGAGGAAGCTGGTGATTTTTCTGTGTCTGTATTTTTAGCCTGGTGGTTCCACCACCATTTGAATAGGAACACGCACCACTGAACAGTGCACAGCATTGAATACTGCAAAGGACCTGCTGCAATTATTTGCATTGGTCATTTCAATTTAGAAATATTTTAATGCCTTCAAAGATAACATTCTTGCTATCCCCGGCTGGATTACATGTGCTATGATATGAAAACTAGCAAAATGAGGAATCCTAGAGCATAGTTTCTGCAGCCAGGAAAGGGAAAGCAGGAAGAGCAGCAGTTAAAAAGAAGAATCCAGAGCCCTGTTAGTGCCTTAATGCAGAGAAGAGTCCCCCTTTGCTGGACTGCCTATGCAAACGGTCTAAAAGAGCAGCAAACAGGATTTTGTGCTCAGCTGGGTGGGAGCCTGGAGCAGACRGGTCTCCAGAGATCATTCCTCATGTTCCTCAAGGCTTTAATTACTCAGGACAAAAAACATGTATCTAGTGTTAGACAACCCTGAACTGCTACCCCAAAACACAGGGGCAGAGGAGATCAACAGTTCCAGCAGTACCAATAAGTCCCATTTTAGTGGCTGAGAAACTGCCTCCAGGGGCACAAACAGAGCACGACTTCAGGTTAGGCTGAGGAATACCCTAAAGCTTGAATTCAGTCACCAGCGAGCCACTCACATCCAAAGTACCACTTAATTTATGAAACCAGCCCATCAATCTCACCAAATTGATTATTTTATTAAGTGCCTTTTTTTGAGAAAATGAGTAGGGACACTTTTACCCTGATAACAACCTATTCATCCTGGTAGAAGGCATAGGACACAGTTGCTCTATTTTGATCTAATTGTGTTTTCTTATTAGACACAAATTAGCTGAGTTTCAGTTTGATGAACTCCTAAAATTAGATGATCCACAGTCAGAGTCCCTACACAGAATCCAAAGCAAGTGACTTTGCAAAGTTTCTAGACAGTTTTTGAAATTGTGGTTACCCGGCAAAATCTTTATAATAAATGACAGATTGTTGTTAATTCATCTGGCAGATATTTAAATAGCATTATTTCTGGACATTTATCCTAATGAAACCTCCAGTGTGAATGTAATTTCACTGGAATTATGCAACATTTGAACACAATGTAGGATTTCATCACTTTTWTAACAGGTCAACGCAAGCTCTAGATTAGCAGAAAAAGTCAAGCATCATTGTTTCTGGGGCTATTTTTGTAGTGAAGTTAATCAAAGTGAAACAATATCATTTTAATGTGAAAATACTATGTGCTTCTGTAGGTKCTTCATGCTGCAACCACAGAATCTGCTTCATTTTGGCCTCGTTTTGGAGCTTCACTGAGAAGCTCCCCAGAGCAGCAGCAGCAGCATGCACACCTGCTGAACTCAGCACGTGGGGCTTCCCTTTGGTTGCTTACATTTTCCTGAAGTCTTTGCATTTAGCTGTTATCACTTCTTAGTGAGTTTTGCCATACTTGAACTTCTAGTTGAACTGACAGCAGGACTTGCTATCCCTTTCCTTGAGATTTCTATAGTTGTTACCATACATCATYGGTAACAAATTGCTCAGTGACAGGAATCCTCTAAGCCACGCATTAGCACGTAAGCATTGGAAGTATCATGAGAGAAAGTTGCTTTCTTTTGGAAATTAGCATTTGCAAGAACAAAAGCCTATTTTGGAGGCCCATCTGATCAATTCAAATATTCCAGACACACACTTGCATAAGAATAAACAAAGCTGAAGCAAGCTCGGGTTTCTCCAGAGCATTATACTTACAGCTTTCTAGCTGCAGTCTGCACGTTTGGGTGTCCATGGGATATTTTGACAGGTCCATGTTACAAGCAACAGTAGCAGTAATTCTGTATGGGCAGAAAGAACTCCAAAGGTTGCAGTAAAACCGTGTCATGAAGCATCTAGCTTTTCACAGCAAACTCAGCCCCAAGGATTCTGCTCTGTCAGAGCATTTTAACTTGGGAAATAAATGGACTGATCCAATGAGAGACTCCTTTTTAGGGGAATGGAGATTTAAGGTAGATTCATGTGTTTTCAATTGCTGGAGTTAACACCTCTTCAGAAATCACCACTTGCCCAGGGGGGAGTAACTGTCCACACACCCTGTGGGCCTATCCAGGGTAAATGAGGTAGCTTAGAGCAACCTTAATTTGCACTCGAGGTCACTGGGACACACAGTTACTCCAAGTGGAGAAGAGCTCGTGCCCCCMGACTTGCTAATGTGAGCCCAGTGCCCATTTTGGCAGTATCATTTACAATATGAGGCCTTGTGGTAAGGAGCAGAAAGCTTGTCCCCATGGCTCTGGAGAAGCAAATAGTTTCCCACTGTTACTGTTAGGATGTCCTCCCTCCTTTCCTCCTCTAATCCATCTCACTATCTGCCCTGTCTTCTGCAGCACCAAAACCTGGGAGCTTTCTGAGCAAATGCCATGATGGGGAATCCTGATCCTTGACTGGAGTTTTTAAGCACTCAGGACTGTGAGGGATGGATTAGAAGTGCCCAAACTCCTTGGGGTCCCATGACACTTTATATCTGCTTGAGTCCAGCACAATTCCAGAAAGCCCAGAGGTGGGGTTACCTCAGTGCGTACAGGATGGTGCCGTTGGAGAACAGCCTGATGAGTCGGTTCCCCACCGTCACCTCGTGCAGGAAGGACCTTTTGGACTCCACGATGTAGGTGTCGGGCACCCAGAGCAGCTCCACCAGGCGAGCGTCCAGCGTGAAGCTCTGGTTGCCGTCGAAGACGAGCCGCGGGTCCGTCCAGTGCTGCCGCAGGTAGATGGTGGCCGTGTAATCCTGGGGGAGAGAGGGAAACCTGGGAAGAGGCACATCCAGAAGCCCTGCGTGGCATTAGCCTTTTAAATAGGTAGGAAAAACATATTTAAATATGAAAAACATGTTTAAATAACAGATTAAAAGCAGACCTAAATAACACAAGAACTTCAAATGCATGCAATAAAGCCAACAGATTTTCATTACAGCTTTATTTACTCTATTAAGTATTTCCCACTGTTTGTACTCCAAGATATTCTGTAAATGTGAGAAAATAAAAAAAATAGTTCACACCATCCAATGACTTGCAGCATTTTCTGCAACAGAAGTTTTTAATACTAGGACACTAGGATAAACTTAGCTTCAGTTTAGCCTGCCAATAACTCACCTGCAGCGACTGAAGCATTTCCACGCTGCCCCATCATAAAAGAATAAGCAATGCTCAGCAATAAAGATGAGCTCAAAATGCAGCCTATTCCCTGGACAGCCACAGGACACTGCTGTACTACTTGGCTTCCTTCCTTACAGGAGGAGTTGAAGGCAGCAGGAAATGCCTTCTAGTTTCAAAACATCTCTTTTGGGGACAGAACTAACACTGGCACTTGCAGAACAGCATTAAGCTGCTAGGTTTTACCCCAGGTATGGCTGTCTGCCAGCGGCGGATGGAGCAGCTCTGTTTCATTCAATCCACAATTTGCAAAAAGCTTTAACAGAAAAGTTGCTAAGTAAATACCAGTTGCTAAGTAAATACTAGTTAATAGCATCATAATAGCATCTAAAATCTTCTAAGATTTAATTCTCAAGCTGGGACAGACGGGGGAAAAGAGTGACCAAAGTGATGCAATGGTTCTGCTTTTGATATAGTGAATAATAATAGTGGAAAAAGTCAAAAATCCTGGTTGATTTCGAACATTTCTAGGGGTACAGAGCAGCCCTCTGCACCRTGCTCTGTGATACTGGAGGCATTTAGGTGGATCGGGCCAGAACACAGAACTGTTTCCAAAAGGCCCTGTAGTGAGAGAAGTGTGAAAAGGCAATTGTTGGTTCAGGGGTCGATCTGCCCCTTCCCCAGAACAAAGAGCTTTATCAGCATTACCACGTTTTATTTGGTGGACCTAATTAGTCTGTGAGGTTTCAAAAAAAACTTCTTGAAAATACTGAAACAATGTGTTAAAATTGTTCCTATTTCCCCACCCTTTCTCTGACTAAAACTACTTGCTCAATTTGACTCAAGTTGCCCAGAGTGAACCTAAAAAGAGAAGTTTTCTGTAATGAAGTGCTTGAAATCCAGCCGGTATCAGAGAATTTCATTTATTTTTGTTTTTTTTTCTTTTTTTTTTTGACCAGCAGGACTTTTGGAGCCATCTCTACTTACAAGCCCATGTTACCATTGCACCTGAGTAGTCTGCAGCTATAAAAGAGTCCCATTCTCCTCCTTCAAGTGGTCAACAGCCACAGGAAAGGAAGGCTGGAGCTTAACTGGTAGTTTCTGAGCTTGACACACAAGAACACATGGCAAGTCTCTTGGATCCTATTTTCTTCTCTCATGCAAATAAAAATGAAGCCACTTACCATGTCGCTCTCCGATATACTAGAAATGCTGGCGACGTCCAGACTCATTGCAATTTGAACAGGTTCTCCTGAACAGAGAAAGAAAAGTTTAAGTAGAGAGAAATGCACATAGTGACTGCTGAGGGTCCTGCATAGCGTGGTCTCTGCTCCCAGTCTCTCCTTGTCTAAAACAGCTGTAGCCCAAAGGCCTAAGCTACAAGTCCAGGAATTAGATCCTTGCATAAGTGAAGAGTCTTACAAGACTCTTCAGTTCAGTCAAATGAATAGTCTTAACCTCCCAGTTAAATCAAGAGGCATGGGGAGCCTCTAAGTCAAAAACCAGATATGCAGTCAAGATGACTAGCAATGAAAACAGCCTGTAACAAAAGCAGAAGTGTTATAGCCACTGCTTCCTCCTTTAAAAATCCTAAATSTAGTGATGTTTTTTCCTAATATTAACTCTTAAAATTTACCACAAGAGGGCAGCTCGTCCCCAGGAAATGTCACCGCTGGCAGCTAGAGAATGCTCACCGTGCCCAGCAATACAGTAATAAATAGCTTTGAAAGAGATGGGTAATTATTTTAAAARCAAAAAGACCTCATAGACTCAACTCCATCTGGCCTCAACGTGTATTTGGAGCCAGGGAATGGAATCTGTCCCCTGGGCAGGGAGGACTTGTCCCTGGTGTGCACAAATCCGTGCCAGGCCTCAGTACCTTCCAAACCGGGTCCATCTCTGCCTAAGGGACCAGCCTGGCAATGCCTCTCCTCGCCAGCCTGGCTGGAACTCCTTCTCTGGGTCTTGAAACAGCACTTAGCAAAGTCCAGAGTAACCCCATTGCTACAGCTTCTCCTAGCTTTATTTATTATTTATTTTGGTAACTGTTCCAAAATTCACTTGGAAAASGAAAGTAATTCTCATTTAGATCCTTGCACTTTGTTTTCAAGGTCCTCCCACACGTTTCAACATTTGAACCTACCAAAATCAGTGACCAGATGAGAGAGCTTTGAGGACTTAGACTTCTGGAGGAGGTCAAACTCGCACTCCATGGGCTTTTTTGTTGTTGTTTTTTTAGATTTATGGCTATATTAGGTGTAGATACATCTAAATCTCAACTATATAAGTCAGAAGCACCTGTGAATTTATGTGACAGATATTAAGGAAGCTTTTATATTCCTGCATGAGATAGATATCCTGGGTCTAACAATCTATCAGATCTATCTTATTGATAGATAGATCTATCAGAGCTATCTTATTGTTTTTATTGTATTATTCCTTATAGTGTAGCAACATGTAAGTCCCAGCTACAGCTGATGAAGAATTTTTCTGCCAAGCCTCGTTTCAGTTACATGTTCTGTCAGAAAAGCAAAATTTACCAAAATTTTCCTAATATTACTCTTGGTGAAACTTTTCATCAGTATTTTTCAGATGCTGAATTTAGCTCTGAGAAACCTCAGCAAGTGTGTGGAGCAAAGCCTAAAAACAGACAATCTAAAAAGCAATTTGTGGTGCTCTGTAGTGGAAATAAGGTCTTTGACACCGGGATCAAACTGCTCAACCAGACACGGAGAACAGCCAGAACCTACTAAAWAGAGATACATGAAAAAAAATAAGCAAGATGACTCCAAATGTCAGACTCTAAACTGAATTGCAACGAGGAGAGCAGAGTTTAGGTCCAGCTGCTCTGCCAGATCTCACAGGCACGTGCTGAATGTCCATTAATCCCCCTTCTCACCTTCACAGAGGGACGTGCTCTAATATCCCACACGTGTGTGCATAACTCTGCAGGAAAACACTGGCTGCATGGAAAGCAGGGCAGGCTTTGGCTCCTAGCTAATCAGAAGGGACTTAACCTTGTGAACCGGAGTGCGTTGACGGCACCAGAGCAGGAGCCCCGCGTCCCCCGCGAGCCCCCCGGCCGCGCCGCCGCGCAGGGGGCCGCCCGGGGCGACGCACCGCCGAAGTGGGGCCGCAGGTACTTGTTGTAGCCCGTGGTGAGGTTCTCGAAGGCGGCGAGGGCCGTGGCGTCGCGTCCCGCGCGTGCTGCGGGCAGGCGGGCCACGCACGTCCTCCTAGGAGCACAAACAGGAGCTGCGGCGCGCGGCCGGGCACGCGAACACGCCGCAGCAAATACAGGAACAGGAAATAAATTGTTGGAATTGTTAGTGCTTGCTCCTGATGTTTAACGTAGCCGAATTATCTGCGCCGTGAAGAGGGAGGGAAACAGCAAATGACCTCARCCATCATCTGCAGGTTTGCAACATGATGACTTTAGGACACTCTTAACACGTCCCAGTCATCAGGCAAGGCCTACAGGTCTTAATAACCTGCTGTTTCCCGTCCTGACTCCCCTCATAGTATCTGTATATGGAAAATACCCTTCTTTTTCTTTCAGACAGCCAGCAGCAGATCTTACTACGAGCTCCTCCTCCCAGGCACTAATTCCCTAAAGGAGCAGTCATTTGTTAATGAGGGATCCCTGTGGCCAGCACTGGGGTAAGACCTCTGAGGAGCCCAGATGGGACAGGCAGAGCTGTAGGCACTGGCCCATCCAGCCCYGAAGCAGCCCAGCCTGCACCTACCTGCTGTCCTCACGGGGCATCTGACGTCAGTCTGCTATCGCTCTGTCAAATTAGTATTTTATGGCCAGGCAATTAAGGTAAAACCTGGCATTGCGAGGCTCTTGGATCTGTAACATAAACTGCTAGAGAGATAGCTTAGGGGAGCATAAAAAGATAAGTTTTATGGTGCTGTTCCCTATGTAGTCATGCAGTCACTTGATGAAAATGTAAACGACAGGAACRTTACAGTTTGTTATTGCTCTGCAAAGGGATGGAGGTGGTGAAGGCAGAACCTTTCCTTGTCCCAGGACGGCTAGAGGGTGTTGAAAGAAACTCAGCAATTCAGCTRCTCAAAGCTCTTACGAAGTTTTTCTCCTAATCTCTTTAAAGCTGGGATAGTAGGCCCTGGAGCTATTAACTTCTCTGCTTACCTTTTGGTTGGAAGGAAAAGACACAGACTGAAGAAGCAAAAGGATCTGCAGAACATCTCTGGAGATTACTTTCTTCTTCTGCAAAGCAGAAAAGAAAGTAAAATTATGTATTGTAAGAAAAAAAWATATGTTTTTAGGGAAGGGTACAGRGAGAAGAGATGGTGCAGCGTCAGAACCATATTCTGTGTGATGTAACACTCCCAGCTCTTAATAACTGCTGCCGTTTCTTTCTAGCTGATGTCATTTTTCAATACTATGATGCCTTAACACTTCTCAGGCAAAAGACACTACTGATAATTTTGGTTGCTTCAAAGCATCAGCAGATTTTAGCTACTACCTTGTTTTGGGCAGGGCTTCCCTTCTTTCAGCATGGGATGGTAGTTACCTGATGTCGAGGATGACCCYACAGGGAAAGGATTTACTAAAAAGAGAAACGTTCGGGCAGTTCTGAAGCTCCACGCTCCGCTAGCTCGTGCCTGGGAGAAACCTGGGCTATTAATAGTAACACTGGCAAGTGGCCTGGCAGTGGCACGGGATGAAATCATCCCGCTCTAAATGGGTTTCGTTGACTTTTCTGGGAGAGGAGCTAAACGTTGGCTCTTGGTCCAAGACCTCCTCCCCTTCGGGTTTGCCTGGAAGCGGCTGAGCTGGGGATGGGCTGCAATGTGCTCTGCCCCCAGCATCGAATCACGCTCCCTGCGCTCAACGACAGGTCTATTCAACACCTTTCCTTAAGTCTCCATGTAAGAAAAGGGTCTTGGGTAATAGTCAATAATAAGTGAACATCTTGCATGTCCTGGCAGATGATTCCTCGCCCGCGAGCCGCTGCTGCAGCCAGCGCAGCCCCAGCTGCTGCGACCGCACGGCCTTCCCTGCCACACTCATTCTGCTCAATAAACACTCAGCACCCGCAGTGGGGCTGTGCGTGGAGCCACCCAGGGCTTGCTCCCTCTCCGCAGCAGCGTTCAGCTTCTGGTAGATGCATTCTTCTTCATTATATTGCATTAAAAGGAGTAACTTAGACATGAATAAACAAGGGCTTACCCGGGAAGGTGGCGAACACACCTGCAGCAGGCGCCGCAGCGTCAGGTGAACGGAGCTTTCCTTAAACCCCGTTCCAGCTGCTGCAGCACTCGGCACAGCTGGGCTCTCCCACGGGGAACGTGGGACGGGTAGGTCCCCACACCACCTTAGCTGTGTCACCCTGCAGTGCCGAGCGCCTGTTGCAGGGCAGACTCACCTGCAGAYGGGAACGAGCAGGAGCCACGGAGCTTGAGAAGCACCGATGACTTGTCTGCCCACAGCAGCTGGCTCCAAGAAACTGGATGTGAACCAAAGCCCTCCCTCTGCTCCGGGGCCTGCCATGGGGCAGGGGTTGACGCTGCCCTGCATGCGGCCTCCTGCAGCGCTAGCCTGGCTTTAATCCCCTTAAGCCTGGCTTCAGCCCAAATACCTTCAAGGCACTTGGCCGAGATGTCCCAACGCCTCCTCTCCTCTGTGCTGCTTTTCATGTAAGCTGATACCCGGCAGCGTGTGCTCCCCTGCAGCAGCCCAGGGCCATAAGACATTATAAAGCCAAGATGGATGTTTCTACCTGGTTGTCTACGTGCGGATGGCCCAGAACATCCTAACATGAAGGAGTTATCAAAAGATATTTGTCCCTCAGTTGGCAAAGATGGGGCTATCTGCCAGGATGAACAAACTCCTTCAAACAGGGGCCAACACCTCCTTGCTGGGATCGGTTCCTCGCTTGACATGAAAACCCTGTGGAAATTCTGGTGGCCACCAGTCTGCTGTGGGCCCAGGGGGCTGTCGAGCCCAAGCAGGGCTAGTGCAGGCCCAGGCCCTCATTGCCCTTCCCTTTATTTTCCACCTCTTTGYCCAGCAGCCAGAAGAGCTTCCCCCAGAGCGGAGATGGGAAGCCTGCTGAGCACTGCCCTTATTTAAGATAATCCTTCACAGAAGCAATCATCAGTAACTGCTAACCTACTCCCTAAAAGACACAGATCAATTGACAGAGTATTATAATCCCTTAAAATATTAATGCCCTATCAGGGAGACAATTTCACTGGGCCTAGAGACTCTTCCATTATTAGAAATTATGCCCCAGCCTTAAATAAATTAACTCAATAAATGTCTTACCCTGAATACAAATTCCTGCTTAGGGCTCGCAAATAAAATGATTTAGAGCTGTTTGTTACAGAAAGATGAGGTGTTTAACTTGCAAAAGAGCACGGGCTACCATATTCCTTGGGCTTTGGTTTTAAATGGGTCTTTCTTTTTCTTTTGCCTTTTTAAACCGGAGGCCCAGCCTGTCCCTGCACAGCCTGGGTCTGACTCCGCACGCAGCCTTTCCAGCCCCTGCTTTGCACTTCGTGCACACTCATAYGTGCACAAAAATCAGCACCCACCTGCGGGACACACAGAAGAGACCCAGAGCAGGACAGGAGCACTGCGCCGAGGCCCCGCCGGTGCTCCACGGGCTCGTAGGGGCTGCAGGGCCTTACAGGGTCTGCAGGGTCGGCTCCGCGCGGCCGCCGGCTCCTCCTTGGCAGGCCCAGAGCCGAGGGGAGGGATGTGGGATGGGTGCCGCTCCAGGAATCGGAAAGCAGGATTAACGGCCCTGGAGTGCGCGGATAAATCAAGCGGATGGCTCTGGGGCCAGAGGCGGGGCCGGGGCCTGCCCCAGCAGCTCAGCTCGCCTCAGCCGCCGCTGCCTTTCCCAACAGCTTTTTTTTTTTTTTTTTTTTCCAAAATAAATGCACGAGGGGATGGAAAAAGGAGGTGGGAGAGGGATATGCTGGAAAACAAGGCACCCCGCAGGCTCACTCCTGACCAACCCTGCGATTTGACAACAGCCTCTATCTACAGCAAGGGTGAAAATCAAGTGGAGCCGCGGGGCAGCGAGGGAGCTGAGGTGGCCGCGGGGCTGAGTGCGTCACCGGCACCACCGTGGCCTGGACCCGGCCCGCTCCTCCCTTCCGCCCGCGACCCGCTCTGCTCCGGGCTGCCGTTTCAACACTCCATGTCGATGCAGCCAGGTGGGCCCGCGCGGCTCCAAGGGGCCGATCTCGCCCCACGCAAGCGTTTGAAGTCGGCACCAGGAATGTCTCGTTTTTCCAACCCAAAGCCCCACTTAATTATCCCCGCTCTGACGCTGTCCATTATAATGCGAGCGCGTCACTTTATCTGGCTGCTCATCAGCACCCGGTGTCCGTGCCTACGCTCTCATGCCTTTCCYTAACTGCACTTGGGAGATAAGGAATTCACTTGGAAAGCAAGGAGGGTCAGCGCAACCTCCTGCCAGGCACGTGGTCTGCAACAGGCCACCAGCTGCACGCCCCATTTCAGGTGCAGGTATTTTGTGATTAGCTCAGATTAATGCATAGTTGTGCTGTCTTCCTTGGCCAAAGCTCTTAAATGTGACAAACCACATATCCCAGCCACGAAAAACACCCTGTGGGGGATAATTTAACTCATGCTGCTCAAGTATTTGCCCTGTTACTGCTAGAAAGTCTCACGTTTTTCTGTTGATTGGATGAAATGCACCCCGAGAAGGCAGACAGATGAAGATGCACGTGAAAACAAGCTGTTGTTAGAAGGAATTAAGCAACAGTTCTTGTCTTTCTCACCATGGCTGTAAGGACAGCGTGCAAGGGTAACTGCTGCTAATCACCAGCCGAGGCTGCTGCCCCTCATTTACTGGGGCCTGATGTAAAACATTAACTCAGCTTTGAGCCGCGCCGGGAAAGTGGCAAGGAACAAACCGTCCCCGGGCTTCTCCAGAGGGCARGGACCTGGAGGGCTGCAAAACCCTCCCATGGGAGGATCACATGGGAGCTGCCTCCCTGCGGGTCCGTCGTCCCCTTTGAAGCGCTCCTTGGAACACTGGGTCTGCAGCAGACCGATCCAAGCACTGCGGAAATGAGGAAAAAGGGAGAAGCTTCCCAGAAGGGAGGCTTCTCAAAGGGCAGCTGAAGTGTTCTTGACGGAACAAAGCCAACTGCAGACTTTGCTTTGGTTTTCATTTAGAAGGATTAAGAAAAGATCCAATTACCCAGTCAAACCCCTGCTACCCACAAGCACTTCCTACCTCTCCTTTGGGATGAAGGCTCTGGCTCTGGCTCCCGACAGACACAGCTGGAGTTGGGCGATGCTCCTGCTGAATATCTCAGGCTTCTCCACCTGCTCTACAGGGCAGCACCTCAGGTGTCTCCTGATGTTGGGAGAGCGCTGTGACCGCAGAGGGTGCGCCAGCCAGGGGAGCCTGCGGAGGGAGGACGGGAGCCAACACGGTCAAGCACACAGTTGTTCAGCTGCCTCTGCTACCACAGCAAAGCTGCCCTGGCCTTGSCTGCTCAACAATAAATAAAACACAAGTTGCTGCTGCCAAGCTCCACCACCGATAGCGATCGGAGACAAGGCGTCTGCAGCTGGTCGGGGCGCCTGCGGCCCCCGGGAGACGTCAAAACAGAGCGGCAAACACGGCCCGGCCACCACCTAAGAGGAAACCGCACGGGATGAGTGGTGGGACAGCCCCAAAGGCAGCCCGAGCATCACTGCTGCTTTCTCAGCTATGAGCTGGGGATCTCTGGAGACCTGCCAAATCCACTTGGACACCACACTGT